TGAAATGAAACTTCCTTCGAATATGCTTGCTTCTCTGGTGGAAAACAGGATTTTTAGACATGGCTATAGCTGAAGTGTTGTCACAGAATAGAGTAGTAGCAGTGGTTTGTTCTTCCCCAAAGTCTTCAAGAACGAACCTAAGCCAAATGGCCTGTGAGGTTGCTACAGCTGCACTCACATACTCGGCTTATGCTGTAGAAAGAGCTACACTATGCTGTTTAACTGAGGCCCACGAGAACACACCGCTGCCAAATGAAAAGGCATATCCTGAGGTGCTTTTCATGTCTTCCTCAGATCCACTCCAGTCACTATCGCAGTATCCAATTAAGAATGCAGATTTTCCAGCTGCATACTCAATTCCATAATCAATTGTTCCCTGTATGTACCTTAGAACTCGTTTGGCAGCTCCATAGTGCTTCTTTGAAGGACTGTGCATGAACCTTGCAAGTAGGCTAACAGAGAACATAATGTCAGGCCTGGTTGCAGTTAAGTATAAAAGACTTCCAACAATTTTCCTATACAAGCTTTCATCTGCAGCTTCACATCCATCCTCCCTTTGTAATTTGTCAGTAGCAACCAAAGGAGTGCTCACAGATTTGCAATCCTTAAGCCCAAATTTATCCAGCAAGGTTAGAGCATACTTCTTCTGGTGAATGAAGATGCTCCCTTCATTTTGTGTTACTCCCATGCCAAGGAAATGGTGAAGAAGGCCTAAATCTGACATTTCATACTTGCTCATCATTTCAGCCTTGAATTCTTCCATCATTCCATCACTGCTTCCAGTATACACGATGTCATCTACATAGATTGACACAATTAGTGTTTCACCATCTTCTTTGGTTCTTACATAAAGAGTTGCTTCACTTGGACTCCTATGAAAACCACACTCAGTTAGGTAAGTGTCTATTTCACTATACCAGGCCCTTGGAGCCTGTTTGAGTCCATAGAGAGCTTTTCTCAATCTATACACTTTATCCTCAGCTCCTTTAATCACAAAGCCTTCAGGTTGGTCTACATAAACTTCCTCTTCAAGAATGCCATTCAAGAAGGCTGATTTGACATCCAATTGACACAATTTCCAGCTTTTCTGTGCAGCTAGAGCAATGAGAGTCCTAATAGTATCTAACCTTGCTACTGGAGCAAAGGTTTCATTGAAATCAATCCCTGGTTTCTGTGTGTAACCCTTGGCTACAAGTCTTGCCTTGTGCTTTTGAATGGAGCCATCAAGATTGAGCTTTGTTTTATATATCCACTTCACTCCCACAATTGGTTTGCTGCTTGGTTTGTCAACCAATTCCCAAGTGGAATTCTTCTCTATCATTGATATCTCCTCATTCATGGCCTTGTTCCAAGCATCATCTTGAGCTGCCTCATTGTAACTTTCTGGTTCAATAATGCTCATTTTGCATTGAGCATAGACTTCACTTAAGTTCTTCCATTTTTGTGGAGTATGATCAAAAATTTCAGAGATTGAAACTGATGAATCATGTGTAGCTTATTCCATAGAAGTTTGCAGCTCATTAACCACTTGTGATCTCTGTGGAGATTGAGCAGACTGAAGTGATTCATTAGAACATGAACCAAATTCTGATATTCTTGGACTTTCTTCTTCATGCCATGGAATAGTCACATGAACTTCTTCATTCAACTCCCAATTCCACATTGCTTTCTCATCAAAGATAACACTCCTTGAGAGTTCAATCTTTTTAGTTTCTAGATTGAAAATCCTATATCCTTTTTCACAGATTCCATATCCAAGAAAGACTCCCTTCATTCCAGTTTCCTCCAGCTTGTGTCTTTTCTGAGAAGGAATATGGATATAGCACAGTGAGCCAAATACTCTCAAATGTTTAACACCTGGTTTTCTCCCACTGAACTTCTCAAATGGTGTTGTGTTGTCCAAAGCACTTGTTGGACTTCGATTCTGTAGATAGATAGCTGTGTTCACAGCTTCTGCCCAGAATTTCAATGGAATCTGCTTCTCATGCATCATGGCTCTTGCCATTTCTACCACTGTACGATTCTTCCTCTCTGCAACACCATTCTGTTGTGGAGAGTAAGCTACAGTTAATTGTCTTTCTAACCCCAATTCTTCACAGAACTTTGAAAATTCCAGTGAGGTATATTCTCCACCCCTATCACTTCTTAGCCTTTTAATTTGATAACCACTCTGCAGTTCAACCATGCTTTTGAACCTTTTGAAAATGTTGAATGCTTGAGACTTGTGCTGTAAGAAAAACACCCAGCACATTCGTGTGTGATCATCAATAAAAGTGAGAAAATACCTATTCCCTCCAAGAGTGGTAACCTGCATTGGACCACATATATCTGAGTGAATCAGTTCAAGTGGTTGAGTAGCTCTCCATGCCTTCTCTTTATCAAATGAGTTCCTGTGACTCTTGCTTATAGCACAACCAGAACAGACTTTCTCAGATCCTTGCAGCTTCGGCAGGCCTTGCACCATGTCTTTCTCTTGTAGCAGCAATAGGCTAGTGTAGTTTAGGTGACCATATCTTCTGTGCCACAACCAGGAAGATTCTTCCAGTGTTGCTCTATTTGCCATTGGAGGATTCACATATTTGAAATCTAAGGGAAAACATCTGTTCCCTTTCATTTGCACTCTTGCAATCAACTCTTTCAACTGTTTGTCTTCATAAATCTTAACCTCATTATCACCAAACACCAACCAATGCCCGTGTTCTATCATCTGTCCTGCACTTAACAGATTCTCATCCAAACCAGGTACTATCATGACTTCCCTAATGTACCTAGTAACCCCTTGCACATCTATAGCCAAAGTACCTTTGCCTATTGATTGTACCAAATCACCAGTACCCATCTTAACTTTACAGTTCACACTTCTATCTATATCAATAAGCAAGGACTCATGAGCAGTCATATGATTACTACAAGCACTGTCCACATACCAAACATTCATATTTCTACCAATAGTAGCTGAATGACAAGCATAAAACATAGTAGCAGGTTCTGTTACCTTACTAGCCAAGTTTGCAAGTCTCTCAGTCTTGTTTGATTCACAGTCTTTAATGAGATGCCCAAAACGATTGCACCCATAGCACTTTGGCTTTCCTTTAAACCAGCATTCACCATAATGAAGCTTATCACAGTGCTTGCATTTCCCTTTTGCTTGATCTGCTTTTTCCCCTTGATTGGTAGAACTTTGAGATTTAGAGTCCCATTTCTTATCCTTTGATTTCCAATTCTTCTTGGATTTGTTGTTACTGAAACCAGGATTTGACTGAGATCCCTTTTGATTCACACTCATACTACTGAAGGCCCTTTCAGTGGTATTCTCAGCATGCCTATCTAGGCGCTGTGCAAATCCTCTCAAAGCAGCAATCACTTCTTGTACCTCAATCGTTTCAATATCCTTGGTTTGTTCAATTACATAACAGACAGGATCAAATTCCTTAGTCAGACTTATAAGTAGTTTTTGAACCAACCTTCCTTTGGAGAGGTCTTCCCCATATCCCTTCATCTGATTCACAAGCTCAAGCAGGCGAGTGAGGTACCCAGACAAGGTCTCATCATCCCTCATCCTTGTGTACTCAAAATCACGACGCAGACCCTGCAATTTGATGGATCTGACTTGCTTGTCACCATGAAACTCCTGATGAAGAATATCCCAAGCACCCTTTGAGGTTTCTTCATTCGAAATCCTAGGGAAAATGTCATTTGAGACAGCCCCTTGGATAATCCCAAGCGCCTTAGCATCCTTCATTAACAGAGACACCTTCTCTGACTCAGATGACCCTTCTTCATCAACCTTCTTCCCTTTCGAGTCTGAAATCTCAAGACCCTTTTCAACTAGATCCCAGATTCCATGCGACTTGAAAATAGTTCTCATTCGGATCTTCCAAAATTCATAGTTATCACCATTGAATATTGGAGCCCGAAGATCACTACCACCTGACCCAGCCATTTGAGACCAGAATCGATGATCGGAGTTTGAAAATTTTCGTTGAAATTTCCAAGCTCAGCTCACACAGCTTCAACGCCCACTATCCAGATCCAACCTTCGCTACTGATACCATGTTAATATTTGGATTGGCAAGGGAGCTTGAAGGGAGAGAGAGAGAGAGAGCTAAGAAGAGAAAATCAGAAATTGGAAATATTCTCAGATGTGATCTACAGTACATTTGCAGAGATCACACCCTTTTGTATATATTCTCATTCTCTCATTACATCAGCCGATTAATTCAATTACAAGAGCCAATGTGGATATGACACATGGCAGCACAAGGCCTAAGAGCCGTTGAAAGCTAACTGACTAATCTGCTCCTTACACTTGGCATATGAGCACAAGCATACATAAAACTCACTCAGCTAAAAACAGAAATGAACTAAGCTAAGTAAACTGTTCACTAATGAGAAATTAGAGAGCAATTTACTTTTCAACAAAGTATTCATTTCAATGACATTGACCCCACTAATTGAATAGGGGTACAAAATTTTTCACTTCAGATGAAAATTTTGAGGCCACAATCAAATCTCAGAATCAAACAATTACTCTGTAAATTCAATAAATATTGTAAGTAACAGGATGATGATAGAATACCTCTGAAGTTAGAATTTTGGAGCAGTTCACAACCCTAATTTCAGCCGCCAACAGAGCATAGGATGGAAGAAGACCGTTGGGTTATTTATACAGTGGATGAATTCGTGTGGACTAACTCATCCCTAGAAGAAGAAGAAGAAGAAGATAACAAATTGAAACAAACTAACTCGTCCATAAACTTTTATGTGGCTCCAAGTTGGCAAACACAGGGCTCTCCTCTTACAAATGGACCATCAGAATGCCCACACACAAATTTGTGAGGCGGTGGTTTCAACTTTTAAATACATTGGATGGTCCTATGCTCCATGTTGTTTTGTTTTCTTATGGAACCATGGACGGTTCTGTTCTGCATGGTAGGATGATCTTTGCCTTTATAAAAAAACACACACAACACATTCTTTTCTTTGTACTAACTCTGAAGATGCTAAATACCTTGCAAGTTTTGCAAGAGCTAAATGAAAGCTCCTCCTTTTTGAAACCTTTGGCCTTCACACTGCTGGCCATTTTCCTTATCTTCCTATACACATGGTACTCTTCCACTAAAACCACCACCCAAAAATCATCACCACCACCTTCTCCACCAAAGCTACCTATCATTGGAAACCTTCACCAGATAGGCTCGTACCCTCATCGCTCACTTCAAGCCTTGTCCCAACGCCATGGCCCTCTCATGCTTCTCCACTTTGGAAGTGTCCCGGTGCTTCTCGTGTCTTCAGCTGAGGCAGCCCGGGAGATCTTGAAAACTCATGACCTCGCGTTTTCTGGTCGACCCAAGTCCACCATCTTTGACAAGCTTCTCTACAACTACAAAGATGTCACAAGCGCGCCGTATGGTGAGTATTGGAGGCAGGTGAGAAGTATATGTGTGTCAAATCTTTTGAGCGACACAAGGGTTCGGTCTTTTCGTTCTGTGAGGGAAGATGAAACCAAATCCATGATCAGAAACATAAATAATTCATCATCATCTGTTTTGAATTTAAGCGAAATCTTTGTGAGGCTTACTAATGATGTGGTGTGTAGAGTGGCTTTAGGAAGGAAGTACAGTGATGGGGAAGGCGGGGAATGGGAGGATGTTTAAGAAGCTTTTAGGGGAGTTCACTGACTTACTGGGAACTGTTAATATTGGGGACTACATCCCATGGCTTTCTTGGTTGAGCCAAGTTAGACAAGGTGGCTAAGCAGTTGGATGACTTTATAGATACAGCGCGTTGCTTGCAATTCAGAAAGGAAACTTGGCAGGCATTCCTATTGATAGAGTTAGTATAAAGGGTATCATCTTGGTAACTATAACTCTCTCTCTCTCTCTCTCTCTCTCTCTCTCTCTCTCTCTCTCTCTCTCTATATATATATATATATATGTGCACGTGTGTATGTTTTTTGTGAAAGAGGTGTAACATATAGTAGCATATATATTTTGCAATAGGTTAAATATCTTAATCCAATCAATTCGTTTACATCCACCACTTCCACTACTATTTCCCAGGATGTCAACCCGAGATGTGGAAGTAAATGGCTACAACATTAAAGTACTGGAATAATTGTATCTGACGGGTATAGCCGCGCGGCTATACTCTTAAAATATTCGAATGTATTTAAAGCGCCACGCGGCTGTATTTTTAAAATATTCGAATTTATTTAAAGCGTATAGCCGAGCGGCTATATTGTTAAAATATACGAATTTATTTTGAACGTTTAGCCGCGCGGCTATACTTGTAAAAATATTCGAATAAATATATTTAAGGAGTATAGCCGATCGGATATACTCTTAAAATATTCGAATTTATTTAAATCGTATAGCCTCGCGGCTATACCGTTAAAATATTTTTGTCAAAAAAATGAAACTAGCAAATTTGCATTTTGACAAAAAAAAAATTGGAAATCGTGTTAAGCCAAAATCCGCCCCTTTTGACGAAAAAAATTAAAAAACAAAAGCCCTAACCAGAGAGAGAGAGCTATTTCAATTTTCAATGGCGATACAGATCATTGACTATTTTCCCACTTGTATGATTTTGGATTAGACGAATCTTCTCCCCAAATGCAACCATTGACTATTCAGGATAGGTTAAACTATACATTGTTTGAATTTGAAGCAATTGAAAACACAGTTGTTGCTCATAAATAATAAAAAAAAAAAAAACACAGTATCCGAATTTTGTACATGAATTTTGACTCTTATCCCAATTTTGTATCCGAATAATAGTTTGTCTTACTTTAGTTAAAATTAATTTTGTTTTTAATAGGTAGCAAATCAAACTAGGTTTAACATCCTTCTCATTACCATTGAAGACACACATGATGTACATTATAGAACCAAGATTGTCCTACAAGATCTGTTAATTACTCTAAAATTTTACAACAGAAAATATGGAAACTAACCTTTGAATAATGCTTGCTTGAACTCCGGTTGAGGATTATTGAACTTCTTTCGAGTAATGTTTAGTGTTGGAAACCGCTTCTTGCAATTTCAGTTAAAATTTTAAGGAAGGATTCAGAGTAACTACTTTTAAAGAAATTTCGAATCGAGAATGGACATTTACGTCTTATAAACTTCACTCAGGAGCTAATTTCACATAATCCAATATTTTTATCCAGAAAAAGAAATTGAAACTAGCAAATTTGCAATTAGGCAGAAGTAAATTAATGTGAAACGTTTGACCCCAAAAAAATAAAAAAAACAATTTTTCTTGTCTGAGAAAAGCCAATTAAACTGAAGAAAAACAATCACGTGCTTGCAAAAATGGGAGACCGTTACTCACCAAAAAAAAAAAAAAAGGGAGACCGTTTATAATAAAATCGTGTAAAGCCCCCAAATCCACCCCCTTTTGACTTAAAACAACAAATCCACGAACCCTAACCAGTGAGAGAGGGAGAGAGAGAGAGAGAGAGCTATTTCAATGGCGATACAGACCTCGAGCTTGAGCAAAAGACATGCTTTAGGCGAAACGACTCAAAGCACTTCTTTGGTAAGCTTCCAATTCGCTATTTTCCCACGTCAATTATTTGGATTAGAGGGACCTTATGGCATAGAAATAGCGACAACATCAAGAAGTAAAAATGAAAGACTGAAACTATAATCTTCTCACCAAGTGCAACCATTGACTATTCACGATAGGTTAAACTGTACATGTTTGGAATTTGAAGCAATTGAAAACACAATTGTGGTTTGTATTTTATTTTTCAATAGAAAAAGTACAGAAATCAAGGTTTCTGGTATTTAATGCATATATAACATTATGCGTTTATAATGTTTTGCAAAGATTGTGAACTATTTCTACAATGTAATTTGGAGGGAGTTTCTGTGGGGAGTTAATTCATTAATCTGTCAATGTAGTTTGGAGGGAGTTTCTGTGTGGAGCTAATTCTGGGGCATTTGGAGAAGGAATAATGCGTCCAGTTGTCTCTGTAAAGATAAGTTTCTGTTGGGAGCTATTTCTAGGGTATTTGGGGTCCTGTAAAGACATGTATTCAGAGCCAAGCTTATCTTTGTGCAATTCAGGTATGATCATAGAGTACAGATGTTATTGATGTAGCATTCACGGGTAATGGGTAAAGCTCAATTTTTTGGTATGCAATCATATGGATGGAATTTAACTTGATGTAAATTATATGTAAGAAAGTAAATTTTTTAGTATTAGTATCCAAACGTATGGTCCCTCCTCCTCATTCCCTCTTCTCTCTTTTTTTCATCATGATGGGGATCAGGGAATTAAGAGTCCAGAAGACTGTTGGCCTCTTAACTCAATCCTTGTTTGTCATCCAAATAGTTAGTTTGGTTTTGGCTGATTTTTGTTTGTTTGGGATTGAGAATGTTAACAGGATTTTAGATGGACATCTCATTCATCCTCCTTGTAACTACATTTCATTAATAAAATCTGTGAGTGTTATAAGAAAAATTGAAGTAAAAGAATATATTAGTGTGAGGTTGTGCTACATGCAATCAAGTTCACCATGAGGCCATTAGTTCACTGTAAATACTGGAGGTCTTTGCCTGCCAACAATTGCGGATTTAATTTGCCTTTCCCAGAATTGCTTGGTAACACTGGGAAAATACGACTGCAACTCCTAATAGCCAAAGTTTATTCTAATAGTATTGCTACTTCTTAACATGCAGTCCCCCACACTTGCTTATTGCTAGATTTTGTCTCGAAAAGGAAAGAAATACTTTGTTCTGGTCATTGGTGAATCATAGGCAGTTAAGCTTTTTGCCTCTAAAAGATTTAGTTGTCATTACCCTGTTTCTCTCTCCTTAATCTGGTTCTTATTTCTAGTATATTAGTTTTGTTTCAAATTATGATTTCATCTGCACAATGCAGGTTATGTTCTATCTGAAGGCTTGAAAGATTGAATAGAGTATGGGAAGCAAAAATACAAGCAATCCAAATTTCCATAGTGGTGGTATGTTTGAGAGACTCATAGAAGGAGGATTGTCTAGTGGTGGTATGTCGTTAAGTCTTGTATAATTGAATTCAGTATTTTTTGTAGGGTGATATATATATACTTGCCTTGATTCATTGATGAATTATGGAGGTTAGATGTGATAGCAAAATGGCCTAACATTTAGTAGTTTTTTGTAGGGCCTAACATTTACGTCAAAAATTTTATACGGTTCATTGGATGGATTATGGAAGTTAGATGTTATAGCAAAAGGGTTTATCAGTTTCCTTCTAATGTTTTTGTTAAATTTAGTACAAGGGTGTTGGGATGCACATGGGATGTTCAGAGGTAGCAAATCCAGTTTTAGCTCTTACATTAATGGCAGCACTGCGAATTTCCAAGAAGGATTGAGCATGTCAGTAGATAAAAAGGATTTTACCTTTACAAAGGAGCTACATGAGAAACTCGCACTAAATTTCTTTCCCATCCGATCTTGTCTGCTAAACAGATTGGGGAATGTTTATGTATCCAATTAAATAATTTGGACAAAATTTTAATGATGTTTTCATGTAATGTGTGTGTATGTATGTTTTTAAAACAAAGGAAATTTAATACATATGCGTATAAAGAGAAAAGGGAGTATGTTTTTTTTCGGTCCTTCGTGTAAAGTTCACATTATGGGGAGGGCGGAAGACTTGAACAGTCTATCGACTTTTAGCGGCGGTTTTTTAATTCGCTGACTTTTATTTTTTTAACAACGGTTAGCGGCGGTTTTTCCCGTCGCAAAAGGCAATTTACCTGAATGGGGTTTTATTTAATTCGTCACGAAAGGTAGAAAAATCGTCGTGAAAGATAAAAACCGCAGCCAATACAATTGATTGTCACGTATTCGAAGAAAAATGGTATTTCCTTTCTGTTTTAATGTAGACTTTGTTTTACTTCCCCGAAAATGCTACCGAACATTTGGCAAGTCTCATAGAAGCTGCAATAACGTTCATTGCACCAATGCAACCCAAAATTTCAATAATTGAGAACCAAGCCACAATTGCATAGTTAAGAATCCAAACAAATGCTTAATGTGTTTGGAGTAAGTTTCATATTTTGTGAATTATAGTTTTGATGATGATTATAATTTGATTCCTGATTTCCCTTCAACTTTGTTACAGGTTCTTGAAATTTAGTTATTGTCTAATAAACATTAACATACTTAGACACAAATAGTTTACATAGTATTAAGCAAATAAAATGGACAGAACTCAACAACCTTCCTTTTGTCCCAAGTTATTTATATAAGAAGAGCAATACCAACACGCCAACTCAACAATGATTTTTTAGAAACCAAAAACAAAAAACAAAAAACTCAACAATGATTTTTTAAAATACCCTTCGGTTAGCACTACCTACACGCTCAGAACTCAACCACCATATATAACTGTTAGTATGTTTGGGGGGCGACATGAATGGGTATAATACAAGAAGAAAGTGCAATGAAAATTTGTTTTCAAATAATTTTCTGCTTGTCTTTTTCTTAATGGTTTCATTTGTATTTGTCTGTCTCTATGATGAGCATGATGCTCATATAGTATATATCTGCTAAATAAACATTGGCTGGAGCTGGTGGAGAGCGAGAAAATCACATGAAAAGACCTGAAATTTTTATATACTAAATTGAACAAGTGTAGGTAAACATCTATGTCACGTCTTGCTCTTTTCTTTTTGTTTTGTGTGGCTGCATTATAACACATGGGAGATACTTATAATCTTATAATCACATATTTTGCCATAAGATTGCATATTGACTAATACTAATCTCATAATGTTTAATATTGAGAAGTGATCAAACCGGCATTATATTTTGAAATTCTCACTTAATATATAGTGAGGAGATTGACAAGTATTCAAAGAGAGAGAGAGGAAAGGTCATACTGGGAACCCTCTCTCCCTACTGTCAATAGATATAAAAAAGCCGAACACAGTATGCTTTCCAGAAGCATCTAAATTTTTTTGTTGTCTTCTGCCCAAGTGGATGAATTCGTGTAGACTAACTCATCCCTAGAAGAAGAAGAAGAAGATAACAAATTGAAACAAACTAACTTGTCCAAAACTTTTAGGTATGGCTCCAAGTTGGCAGACACATGGCTCTCCCCTTACAAATGGACCATCAGAATGCTCACACACAAATTTGTATGTGTCTCAAATTAATTGGCTCAAACTTGTCGGTGGTTTCAACTTTATAAGTTTTGTTTTCTTATGGAATCATGGACGGTTCTGTTCTGCGTAGTACTAGGATGATCTTTTCCTTTATTTATTTAAACACACACACCACATTCGTTTCTTAGTACCAACTCTGAAGATGCTAAATCCCTTGCAAGTATTGCAAGAGCTAAATGAAAGCTCCTCCTTTTTGCAACCTTTGGCCTTCACACTGCTGGCCATTTTCCTCATCTTCCTATACACATGTTACTCTTCCACTAAAACCACCACCCAAAAATCATCACCACCACCTTCTCCACCAAAGCTACCTATCATTGGAAACCTTCACCAGATAGGCTTGTACCCTCATCTTTCACTTCAAGCCCTTTCCCAACGCTATGGCCCTCTCATGCTTCTCCACTTTGGAAGTGTCCCGGTGCTTGTTGTCTCTTCAGCTGAGGCAGCCCGGGAGATCTTGAAAACTCATGACCTCGCGTTTTCTGATCGACCAAAGTCCACCATCTTTGAGAAGCTTCTCTACAACTACAGAGATGTCGCAAGCGCGCCGTATGGTGAGTATTGGAGGCAGGTGAAAAGTATATGTGTTTTAAATCTTTTGAGCAACAGAAGGGTTCGGTCTTTTCGTTCTGTGAGAGAAGAGGAAACCAAATCCATGATCGGAAACATAAAGGACTCATCATCATCATCTGTTTTGAATCTAAGCGAAATGTTTGTGAGGCTTACTAATGATGTAGTGTGTAGAGTGGCTCTAGGGAGGAAGTACAGTGAAGGGGAAGGCGGGGAAAGTGGGAGGATGTTTAAGGAGATTTTAGGGGAGTTCACTGACTTACTGGGAATTATTAATATTGGGGACTATGTCCCATGGCTTTCTTGGTTGAGCCATGTCAATGGTTTGGGAGCCAAGTTAGACAAGGTGGCTAAGCAGTTGGATGACTTTATAGATACAGTGGTTCAAGAGCATATGAACCATAGTTCAAGGAGTGGAGATGATGACCAAAAGAATTTTTTGGACGTTTTGCTTGCAATTCAGAAAGAAAACTTGGCTGGCATTCCTATTGATAGAGTTAGTATAAAGGCTATCATCTTGGTAACTATAACTCTCTCTCTCTCTCTAGATAGATATATATATGCGCATCTGTGTGTGTTTTTGTGAAAGAGATGTAACATATAGTAGTATATATATTTATATATTTTGCAATAGGTTATACCTCTTAGAGATATTTAGTCATATACACATTCTTAGCACTAAAACCATAAACAAACCCTACACCATTTAATTTCTATAAACAAACCCAAAAATAATCCAAAACATGATAGCTGGCCCTACTGAATTTAATTTTGATTATTAAATTACTTTGATGCCCTATTGAGTGATTTGGGCTTTTTTATGAGGTTTTGGGGTTGAGTTTATTTTAAGAAATCAATGTTAGTTTTGTAATTTAAAAGAAGTTAAAAGCCTTTTTGTTATGTTGTAAATGAGCTTTGAGTATATTTCTAAAGTCCATTTCATATATGGTTTTTTTTTATAATTTGGGCTCATATATTTGGTATAATAGTGAATCTCCCTATATCTTAATCCAATCAATTCTTTTTAGGACATGTTTGCTGCTGGCATTGATACCACATATACTGCCTTAGAGTGGGCAATGACTGAGCTTTTAAGGCATCCAAGGGTCATGAACAAATTGCAGAATGAGGTAAGGGGAATAGTCGGAAACAAAACAGACGTAATTACAGAGGATGATTTGGTTGAAATGCACTACTTGAAGGCAGTGACGAAGGAGACTCTTCGCTTACATCCACCACTTCCATTACTATTTCCCAGGATGTCAACCCGAGATGTGGAAGTAAATGGCTACAACATTAAAGCCAACACACATGTTTTCATCAACGCATGGCAAATTGGAAGAGATCCCGAGCTGTATGACAACCCAGAGGAGTATGAGCCAGAAAGGTTCTTGAATAGTGATATAGATTACAAAGGGAATGACTTTCAATTGATTCCATTTGGAGCTGGTAGGAGGGTCTGCCCAGGACTTCAGTTTGCCATGGCTGTTAATGAAATTGCCTTAGCAAACATCGTGTACAAGTTCGATTGGGCATTGCCCGGTGAAGCAAGTGGGGAGGATTTAGACATGACAGAATCCACTGGTTTAACCGCACATAAAAAATATCCTCTCAAAGCT